TGGAATGCGAAGAAGCTTCAATTCTTGGCGTATCGGAGGTTTCTCCTGCTTTTTTCTTCTTTTTCAGACCACTCCTCACCTCTAGCTTTATTACTGCACGCTCTTCCACACCTATTTTCTCTGCCTTTAATCCGACCTTAATTCAAAAAAAATGGCCTATGGTTGGTTTGGGATAACCTGTTTTGTGTGAAATAGGAAATAAGAAGGAAAAATGAAGGAAAAGTGAGAAATCAGGAACCCATTTTCGGATTTCATAATGCTTTATTTCCATGTAGCACCCAAATCATATTATTTTGAGCATTTACACAGAACAACCTACTTTCAAATGTTAAGGTGTAAATCCCGCCTTGAAAGGAAAACTAAAAAATTCATGGATCGCTAAGAAAAATTTCAATGCTATCAATAAATAAAATGATGTGTCACAAGAAACGAGCAAGACACGTTATAATAAGAGCAGATACTCTTTGTAATACAGACAAAATTAAATGAGTTCTAGACCTCCTGTCAAGGCACTTGAGCGACTTTCAAGCGCTTCAAGTGCAAGAAACAGATGCGAGAGGTCCATCAATTAATGCCAAAGCTATAAAGTAATTACAAATTATCAACAAAAAACTCATAAGGGTGATTCATTGCCATACGAAATGACTGCCGACTAGCTGCAAGATCAGATGGTAACTCGTCTAACCGTGGTGGAATCGCCGACGTTGACGGCGCCGCGGGGATCACCACATTACGATGTCTGAAAGTAGGATGTTGACTTTAGGTCAGCGTACCAATGCTTAACAGTCAATGTACCTTTTGTGGTCACTACCAGACCCGCTTCCTTCACCTGAGCCACCACTTGCTTGGGATCTCACGTCGGGTCCAGATGCACGATGTGCCGCGGCGCCACCTGCCACAGTAAAATGAGGAAAAGGCGAGACTGGCATTGATGCATACCCGCTTACCTAAAAACAACCTTTAATCATCTTATAGATTTTCTGATAAAGCTGACTGAGCAAAAGGAGTTCCAGCGGTACCAAGCAGGACAAAAAGTGAAGATTGGACTATGAAGCAGTAATCGCGAAACCCTCAAGCTTCAATTTTACCAAAATGCTCCTCATGTCATTATTTACCAGCGGATCCCAGAT